AACAGAGCAAAATCTGATATTGTGACGTCACAAGAGACCTGTTAATTAACATTAAAAGTAACGGGAGTACTCTTTGCGCAACCTACTGTGTCTTTTAGCAGTGAGCACATACCACTATCCAGAGAGTGCACATACTTAACGCGTTATCGATAGCTTAAAATTAATCATCTATAGAATCTGTGGGATAGCAGCTCTGCAGATTAACATTTTGGCGGCAAACATACGCTTTTGTTTAGGTACGTTGTACAGTGCGCGACGATGACTGAAGAATAAATAGAATCCGCTTTATGTACAAATGATTCAAGTTGGTTTGCACTCAAGCAACATCAAAAACCAAATTGAAATAAATAGGCAGAAAGTACAAACAAAAATTCATCATTATCATTATCGGCATCAACGTTGGGATCGGCAAAACAGTCAAGAAAATAGAAGCGAAGCATAACGCAACAAAAAGAAAAAAAAAAAGAACGGAAGAAAGCGACGCAAACAAACAAAAATAATTCATATTAAGTGTTCTTGCAATTATGTACGATAATTTGAGCACTACCGAAAATGTATGAAGTTTTTATTAATTAATTATAATGGAATCAATTGTATTGCATTCGGATATCGCGCGTCTCGTGTTGGGTGAGTTTGCGATTCCTACATTGTAAAATAAAATGCCTTATTAATAGTTATTGTCGTATTTTCAGGTTACTTTGTAAATAACAATTTGAGGCGTGCGGCACTCACATTATGTCGCACCTCACCACACCTGCGTCAGGAGTTTATTGCCTTGCGACAGGGTCTGCAACCGCACAACTTTCTAAATGACGGCCTGGAGGACATCATACGAGAACACGTCAAAATCACCAGCATGGGTAAATTAAAGCTAATTCCAAATATATAATCTGTTTTGACCGATGTGCATTTGCCAGTGGCCAATGCTGTAAAAAAGTTGCCCAACGACACTCGCCAACGCCTACAGCAGCTGAAGCTCTCCGAGCGAGTTGACGAGCTATTAAAATTGAATAGGTCAACAACAACATCAACAACATGCAACAAGGATAGTACCGCTTGTATGCGAAATACGAGTTCTAATACACAACACACACGTAAGAGACGTCGCGTGTAAGTAGCTTTAAATTTACATTTCTTCAGAAAGTACTCACTGCTTTTAATACTAGACGTGTCCATTCATTGCCATTGGATGAGCAGCATGCGAACCCAGACTTACCAACACCCTCGGAGCGTTTTAACTGTAAACGTCCGCGGCTACTAGATCCGCATCTGTACTGCAGCATTGGACGCACCGATCACATAGATGAGGAGTACCAATCGCTGGACAGCAGCACAACCAGCGACTTTATGGGTGAACAGACAGATGATACCCTACATTTTCGCCATGGGCATGGACCCAAAAATAATTCTACTCCTCGCACAGCTACTAGCGAAGAATCTGAGCTAATAATGCCAATGCCACAGACAATGCCAGTAAGTAAGCTCAAAGATATTCTGCGAGGCTTACTGATTTAGATTTATATACACGAGTATACAATAACAAAAAATTTGCACATTTCAGGAAATAACGCAAGCTATCATGACCAATCACGAGTTCCAAAATAAACTATTGAGCAATATAAACACGGCTCTGCAATCACTTACGGTACATGCACCCACGGCAGAATCTGTAAACTCAGAGGCGGTACTAGATGGTCTGGTAAGAAATATATTGGAGGCCACAGAGAAGGACCCATCATTTGATCGCATCATTCAGGAAGTGGTAGGCATGGATACACCTGCGAATGAGCCCATACCCACAGCAGTAGAAGCACCAGTGCCAGTCGCAGCGGTTGCAGTTGAGCCTGCACCACCGCAAACACCACTTATAATTCGTACAGCAGTGGCATCAGCGAATGCGGCAGCGGCGTCTGTGAATCCCAATGGAGATATTAATATGGGGAATGGTAGCAGTGGAAATGCCATAATTCTAAATGCAAACAATTCGATTGGCACGCTGATTGATCCCAATTTCAGTATATCCAAACTCATAGTGCTTAATTCGAACGAGAGTGCACAAAAGCAGCAGCCGACAGGAAACCTCAGCTTTGGTAGCGAGAATCTTATAAACTTCGCTGATGGTGGCTCTACTGTGGCAAATCCGGACTCTGTTGCCAGTGACGCGGCTGTAAACGGCGGTCAGGTGTGCGTCGACGCAACCAATGGCCAGCTAACTTTTCCTATGTTTCTCTCGAATGAAGGTCTGCTTTCGCATTTGCCGTTTTTGGTGAACAACGAGTGGCTGGCGCAGCAGTTGCGGTCCGATACATTCACCAACATGGACGTTTCTCATATTGAAATACCACTGCCGGAACCAATTACAGTCACTGCCAATCAGCTGCCACCCAATTCGATAATTATCAATAGCGCCGTGAAACAACCCCCAACGACAGAGGAGGAGCCGTCAAGGGAACCGCCGGCACCTCTAATTGCCGATCAAGCTAAGGCAGTGGCAGGAAATACTAGTCTACTCGAGCGCTCTGCGAGCAAAGTGGCCAGCGCGAGTGCTGTGCCCGCCTCGTTAGACTCATCGCGTCTGGCCCTGGAGCGCGTGACGCCTTCCACGTCAGGTATTGTGAATGTTAAAGCATTTCGCAGTCTTTCCACACCTCGCAAGCGCACTTCGCATGTACGAACGCTCAATTTCTCGCCAAAAGGAATCCCCCATACGCAAGGCGTGACGCCGCTATCCACGCGGCGTCTCCAGCAGAAGCAGCAGACTCTGCGACGAACGCAGCTCAAAACATTGAAAGAGAAAAAGGCTGAAGAGTTGATAGAAACAAGCGTACAACCGGAGAAGACAGTAATTATAAAAAATGTGGAGGTTCTGCCAAGTTTTGGTACCACTCCCAGCGTCCCATTAGCCACGAATGCATCTGAAGCTGTCGCAGCGCCATCTGAAAATGCTGCTTCAGTTGCAGCAAGAACACCTGCCGATATTAGTGGCAACGAAAGCAATGGTTGCGTACCGCCGCTCTTTGTCATGGAGGAATGCAGCAACCAGACGGTGATTAAGGCTGTCACGGCACCCAAGCAGTTGGCAACTAACTCAACGACAACGCCCAAGCGTAAGCAAGCGCGTCGTGCTGCGAACGCGGCCTGCAAACGCATTATTTCGCAGGCAGCAGTAGAGGACGAGCCAAACGACCAGCAGCAGGCGGAGAAGGAAATTTCCAGCTCATTGGATGACAGCAAAGAGAATAAACAGCTACCAACAACACAGCATGTTCAGCTGGCTGAGCAAAAGACTGAACTGAATAAAGAGAAAGATGATCTGTTGGCCGCCTGGCAGCGTCAGATGAATAGCACTAGCACCGACTTGGAGCTGCGCTTGCGCGAGATCAACGCAAAACGCCAAGAAGTGCTCCAAAGCAAACCGCGTGTTCGTCGCCCTAGACCTGTAGCGGCCAACAAAAAGAAAGCCCTAGCCCTATCGGTGTCCCTCATGCCGCTCACTGCTAGGAAGAGAACCCAAAGGCAGAAAAAACAGTCACAGCAACAGTCGAGCAGTAACAATGTTGAGAGCGAGTTTACCATAAAGATAAACACTCCACAGAAGCCACCAGTAAAACCGAAAGTTGTCAGCCAGGATATACACGAGCCGAAGGAAGTCGTAAGGGCCAAGAAGTCCAAAAAGAACAAAGAAGGCAAGCCAACTAAAGAACTTTTCAAGTCAAAGCATGAGCAGAAGCTCGAGTCTGTGCAGCAAACACAACAACCTATGAAGCAGCCAGCAGCTGGCAAAATGAATACAAAGGACAAGCCGGCAGATTGTGATATGTCCAACATGGCAGTTCTTTTGGAGACACCATTTAAGGTGACACTAACAGAAGCTAATGGTGACATACCGGCGACGCCCGGACCAATGTTGATGGATACGCCTTATGCTAAACTGCTTCCATCTGCATCGTTTCTTTTTGGCAGCGATACAAAGAGCATACTGGATACGCCCATGTTGACAGCCATTACGCCGGGCATGCGTCTCACGACGCCCTTTGGCCATGCGCTTAACACTCCGCACAGCAGCGCGGCGAAAACGGATTACTCCGGTGGCAGCTCCTATTATCGCCCAGATGAGGCCGAACATACGGACACAAATGCACAGTGCGCTCTGCCATCCGTGTCCCCAAGAGGCCTTGTGGAGCAGGCACCCAAACAATCGACAACTTGCATTGAGCTACACGCTGAGCGGTTGCCCGTTGAGCCGACGATGCTGCGTCGTGTGCGCTCTTTCGGTAGCGAGGCAGTGGATAGCATTGAGGGTGCCGCAGCCCTGTCTCGTAATGGGGAGTCGACGTTATTGGCAGAGACTCCGCACTATAAACTGGTGGCAGGACTGCCTGACGCTGTCGTGGACCATTCTAGCAGCAGCTCGAGTGGTAGTAGCTCAACCTCCTCCAGCAGCTCCAGTTCCTCAAGTAGTGGCAGCACCAGTAACAGCAGCCCCAATACATCCGCCTCATCAGCACAATGTGGTAGATTGATAAACGCTGTGACTCCTGCACGAACAATAAAACTATTGGAGCTAGAAAATCTATCTGATATTAGCAGCACTGAGGACGACGAGTGGCTAAAAGTAGCTGCTGCCTGCGGTTCATTGGATGCTCCACCGCTGGATATCGACAGCGAACCAGCTCAACTAGTTAGCCAGAATGGCGAGGTGCGCTATCCCTTGCGTAGTTGGCTGACACCAAGCAAAGAAGCTGCTACAGCAGCTACGGTTGCGACGAATGCTGATACAAGTGGTGACATGGCTCCTACTGCTCCACTTGCTCCACCTGCTCTACCTGCTCCACCTGCTCTACCTGATCCACCTGCTCCACCATCTCCATTGCCTGAGAGGATAGTGTCGAACGTAAAAGCTGAGAGAAAAATCAACTCGAAAGAGGAGTCTATTGAGCAGCGCATGATGGATTTAGCCGAGGTGCGTGAGCGCGTCAAAGCGAAGTTTAAGCAGCAGACAACGCCAAAAGGGCGACCCAGAAAAGTAAACAGAAAGCTGTCAGCGATGCGCGAAACAGCCAAACTGGCGCATCCCAATTCAAGCCATGGATATACATCACCTAAAAAGGAGTTTGCAAGTGTGAGCACGGAGAAGAAAGAAAAAGTGAGCAATGCAAGTCGACCAGTAAAGAAGCAGGAGACACCAGCTAACAAAGCAGTGAAACCGAAGCTAGTCAAGTCAAGTGAAACAGTCCAAATTAAATTGGAAAAGCCGGAACCGTCTAGCAGTAAACTTGATCCCGCGCTACTTGTTGCTCTAAATCTTAGCGCCAAGAAACAGCAGCAACAGCAGCAGCCCAGGGCTGGACGTATCGCTGTACAAATTTCAGCTCAACCTGCTCCATCGATGACCACGGGTCAGCGCCGTGGTCGACCCCGGAAGCCACCAAATATGGAGCCGTCACGGTGCAGCATGCGACGCTCCTCCCGACTGATTGACAACAAAAGTAAGTTGACCTCTAACTGTTTATCAGATTATCCCATTAAAAATGGGAAATCTGGGTATAATGGTTTTGTGAAAAGTATGTAACAGCACTCGATATAGCCCTGTCCGTCTGTCCGTCTGTGTGAACACCGAGATCTCAGTAGAATAAGAGCTAGAGACTTGATTTGGCATTCATACCCGTGTATGCCATACGCAGTAAGCGTTTATCATATTTTTTCCATAACTCATATATGGATGTAGTTTGTTTTAGCATAATTTGGATACTTAAGATTCACTGTGTACATATATACATTTGATGAATATATAGATTTTGTAATTTACAGATTTTGAATACCACTCCCCTTCGCCCCCAATTTGTAAAATAAAAAAACATATTTGAATTGTGTTTTGGAATATAGTATATAATATGATCACGTTCAGAAAGTTTCATGAAGATAGTTCCACTACAAAAGAATTTATTAAACAAGTAAATGCTAATAATATGGCACACACTGCAGCCCAATGGATGCATGTGTATGTATGTACATATGTTCTTGTATGTGTGTATAAGGGAAGTGAAAAATTATTGGAATAACAGGTGGGAAAGGTCAGGGTATCTCCTAATCGAGCAGTCTCGACTTGAAGATTCCTACTTGATTTTCTTTCCGTAGATCCATTTATGCTATACCTGTTGTTTTCTTCGTGTAGCTCCTGCGCCTGAAGATCCACGGCATTTCGTTAACGAGGAAGCTAGACCAGTGACGACATCCAGCAATACCAAAGTAACAAAAAAACCAGCTAAGAAACGAGCTGAGGCCCGCATTGAGACTGCAATGCCGCCACTAGCCACGCTGGCCGAAGCTCAGACAACGCATCAGTCAACCGAACAGCTGCAGCCTTGGAGTCATCCGCCTGAATCGAGCACGGCTCCCGATGCCAGTAGCGACTACGATCTGGATATGTGCCTGAGCAGCAGTCATGTGACCAACACGTATAGCTTTGCCTATGAGGACAACGGTAGCAAGCCGACGAAGCCTGTGCTCCGTCACCCGCCCGCGTTCTTCAAGAATTTTCAAATGCGCATCATGTTCGACAACGAAGTGCACAACGTACGCATAACGAGTCCACAGCTGCTCCACCAGTCACTGGACGCCAGCACCGAGGACAATGCAAGCCCCACTAGTATACGTAATATACCCAAGAAGCGCATCATTCGCTTCACAAGCGTGGGTGGCGGCAGCCAGGAGCTGGCAGCGGCCCATGATATGCCCATGGCGTCATCCACACCGATGGCCACGAATACACTTGGCGACGAGCACGATGATAACGACATGGAAGTGGCTTCAATGTAAGTGCAACCTTAATTTAATATGATAATCGCGCTGCCTCTATTTCTAAAAGTAAATTAAATCGATAGGCAGTATTATACTGTGAAAGCTTATGTAAATTAGAGCTTGAATAATTTAATTTATATATCATGAACCAGGTTTGTCTATTCTAATGTGTGAACACGTCGTTCTCATAATCCATAGGATATACAGACTTGTGTAGGTTTCAAGATTGCTTCAAATATTTTCAAAATTGTTTATACCGGCTCGCAATATCTTTAAAACACACATATTGCCTTTCAGTTCATTTATAATTAAAGGCTATAGTATACAAATTTCTATACTGAATTTTAGAAAGTGAGATGAGATGCCTAGCCGAGAGATTTTTGTCTCGTTATTTCTATACTCTGAAATGGCAAATTCGAGTATAATTGTTTTGTGAATATGTATGTAACAAATGAAATTTCATAACAATGCCCACACTGCAGTTGCAGAGAATAGCGCGTGCTTATACGTGCCACCGATATTTATTTATGTATTTATTTATTGAGAAGTTCGAGTTCATATAAAAATTGAAACTAACTTAACTAGTCTAGAGAGGGCTTGTTAAAAGTATATGTGTTATATAAGCATTTTATTGACAACAAGTAAGAAAGCTCTAGTCGAGACTGCTCGACTACGAGATCCCCTGAACC